GATCGCGCCACGTAGCCTCGCCACCAACCGGCTCGAGGTCTTTCAGTCGCAGAATTTGGATCTGCTGACACCTACCTATTCTCACCCCGTGAAAAATGGATAGAGACCCTGCGTGGCAAGTTCATTCTTCTTAATGCCCGCTCCATCGCAAACAAGATTCCTGACCTCAATCATTTATTAGCTCAGAGTCCACTTGCGGTATTTATTACCGAATCATGATGTAAGCCGGGCACTATCGACGACGCCATTTTGAGTTATGGCAATGAATACCTCGTCCATCGCTGCGATAGGGATGGTGATAGAATGGGAAGTGGCGTTGCTGTTCTGATACGAAACGATATTGACCAGCACCTCATCTCGGTGCAAAATTTTTCTGAATTTTGTCAAATTGTAGCGGTTCACATAAATCTCGAAGACATTGACCTACTGATTGTCACGGTTTATAGGAGTCCATCGACTGGATCAGCGGCCTTCGCAAGCTTTTCAGATATCTTGAAGAGCTGTGCCTAGTCTGGCCACAGAACATCTTTATTATCGGTGACTTCAATTTCCCGTTGATTGACTGGGAAACCGTAACTCACCGCGGGGGCATGTCTTCAAAATCGTCTTCAGCTTTCATCGATCTTATCATTTCGCACAGTCTCACCCAGTTAGTCAGGAAGCCTACCCATGAGTTGAATACATTAGACCTGGTCATAGCAGCTGACCCAACAAGGATCGATCAGCTCACGTCCTTCCTCCGTTAAGTACCTCTGAACACTGCTGCATTGCATGGAAGCTTGGTGGTATGAAACTGTCTCCCGTCCCCATTGCCGCACCTACAGAAACTTCGCAATTGCTAACTTTAGCGCCATAACACTCTGTTTCGAGTTAACTGGACACAGGAGCTCAACGGCCATGATGCGGACAAGTTCTATTAAAGGTTCACCCACATTTGCAACCAGATTATCAATGATCACGTTCCCCTAGCGAGAAGAAGAGCTCGACAGGTCACATATCCTAAGAAGATTCGCATACTGAATGCTAAGGCTAAGTTCTATTTCAATAACATTCATAGGTACGGCTCGCATAAATATCTCAAGGTGGCACGTAAGCTCAAGAGGGAACTTGCACTACTTTATATACGGGACGAAAAACAAGTAGCGACTTCTAATAACCTCAAACTTTTCTTCCAGTTTTGTAATCAGAGATTAGAAATCGTGGAGGGCATACCCCCTTTGGTAAACGATTCCTCTATTATCAGAAATGACATAGAGAAAGCAAACTTATTCGCTGACTATTTCGAATCGGTCTATAAACAACCTAGAAAAGCTGGTGTTTACTACCCTCTCATAGCACAACAGAGGCTAGATTGGATAGATATCTCCAGTGATGCTGTGTACCGTGCTCTGCGCCGCCTTCCTGCAAGAAACTCAACATCACCTGATACCATTCCTTACATATTCCTTAAAAAGGCAGCACTTGGACTTATAGCGCCACTAGTTATACTCTTCAATAAGTTCCTCCTACACGGAACGGTGCCTACAGCGTAGAAGATCGGGATAGTACGCCCTATACATAAAAATGGAGCTAAAACTGATGTGTCTAATTACCGCCCCATATGTCTTACCAGTTCTACATGTAAGGTATTGGAACGCATTATTTGCAAGTCAATGACTGACTTCTTTCGGAATAATCAATTGTTGGCCAACGCTCAACATGGTTTCGTCAGCAAGAGGTCTACAGCTTCTGCTCTTCTATCGATTGTCCCCTTATGGCATAGAGAGAGAGGGCCTTCAATGAAAGAGATCCGTGCCAATAACGGAATATAAAAGGAGAAGAATTTTGAGTTTAAACCTTTCTTAATGCGCCATGCACTCGACATTCATTCCGAGTCATAGAACCATTTGAAAGTGTGTTTGGTGTGTTCACTAAAAGGAGCCAACTGCATTCTGATACGCATAGGGCATGCTCCAGGATGAAATGATGTGGTTTTCCTCGCGAATATGGATGCGAGGAAGACCGTAATAAAGGAAAAAGAAAAAGAGTTTGTTGAAATCGCTTAGGTTAAGGGCTTACCTGCCTCCGTAGTCGGCGGTGCTAAGGCAATGAGAGACCACGCGCTTAGAGGCGAGTGCGAAAGGAGAGAGCGCAACAAGTGAGAGGGCGCCAGACAACAGCCTGATAAAAGGAAAACTGCAGCTGCTGCATCTCACTTTGCAAGGCCTCAGCGCTCTTGTGGGTGATTTCCGTGCACACGAATGCCACATCTGTGATTGCCCTCCAGGGGCCTCTCCTTCAAACCTGGGATATCTGTCTGATCGTGAGTTGTGCCTTCGAATGGATGAATTTATACTTTCAAGCTGAGCTGATATCCTGCTCCTGAGAAAGAAGGCTTGGTTGACCCTTGCCTACATCGATCTCACTGTCAGTCCAGATTGTAACTGCCCACTACAGCCACTGCACCAACTTTGGTCTATTAAGAAGCGCGAGAGAAACTACATTTCCAACAATCATTTTGATCAGTGTAGTGTACGCCTCTGGAAATCACTGTGGTCTCTGCGTAAGACGTCAATGAACCAGCTGCGAAGTGGGGTTATCTACATATATTCTAACAACTGAGGGAAGAGAAACAGTATGAATGAAACTTGAGTGTAGAACAAGTAAGCATAGAACAGAGCCTGTTACTCCTACGCTACGCAAGCGCTTCTCATGAACAAACGTGTTTTAGTGACAAATAGCATGCCTGCAGAGAATTTCATTACAAGATCTTAGTCAAGATGATGATGTAGGACTGTTTCAAAACGATTGTCGCAGAGTGATCCTCATAGCAATCGGTGTCCGTCTTAGGGCATAAATGGGCATAATCCGCGTTGCAGAAACCACAACCCCGTCAGGATGTCACAGCATAGCACAGAATTGCAGTGACTAGGCTTTGCAAAAGGTGATGGTGCACTTACGACACAAGCTAAATACATATAGGTATTAGGTTCAAAAACTTCTGTCGTTTTCTGATGTTCCACATTTGGTGCTTCATTTCACTTCAAATCACAAGAAGCTGCCATCGGCACAAATATCATCTTGGAGAGCTTTCCCTGCATATCCAATGTTTAGCTCAGCTTTGTTCTAAAACACTTTCTTATACCTTTTTCAGACTTTGAATGCGGTATACTCGAAGAGCAAGTTGGCACGATTATCTTTCTTAGCTTTAAATAGACCTGAAAGTAACGGGAACAGTTCAATATATAAACAATGAACTTGGCTCGTATTCGCAGTAAATGTGCTCAGAGGCAGTAGTTCAAAAAATTATTGTAACGAAAGCGAGAGTTTTAGTATGATGAGGGGTGGTCGGATACGGGACGTTGTCACCGCCGATAGTTCTGATTGAGGCATTCGTGCGTAGGACGATTGAGGAGGCTCTGCCCAACCTGGACGTTTATGGTTTACCAAGCCAAGTTATAAGGAACTTGCTGGAATGTCCAGAAATTTGTTAGGGGGTGCCTTGGCCAATGACTGATTTGGAAAGTGGTTCCTCAATTTCTAGCGTTTTAAATGACGTGAGCGACCCGTCTTTTTGCCGACTAGCGCGTACAATGAAGAAGGGTTTTCTTCCAATAGCTCACGTAGCTTTGCTGAATAGCTCGACGGCGAAAGAGCTCTACAAACTTCGCAAAGCTTATACTGTGTTGAAGGAGGACTGTGGCAACTTTAAACCGGTCAGCGGCTAAGTGATTTTCCCCGAATCTGGTGGAAGTTGTAGTCGGTAAGAACTCTCTTAGAACAAAGAACATTACGCCAAATTCACCAAAACTTAAAGGCAAACTCCGGAATTGAACTGGTGCTAGGCGCGCTTCGTAGCGATAGCTTAGCTGCGGAGCGACCCGAAAGTGGAGAGGAAAGCGAGAGAACTCTTTGAGAACGCTGAAATCAAAGCCTTCACCTTCAAAAAGGTCGGATGTGGTAGGATGGCGAGACACGGCGATCAGAGAAGTCAAAATACGCGAGAGAGTACGTCGTTTGAGGGAGCATGCTGATTTCACCACATCTCGCGGTGGGTGGGAAGAGTTCGATGGTTGGAAGTCCGTAAGGATTAGCGCCCTAACCGCGCAATTCTCGCGACCAATTTGGAGTGATCTAGGTAGGTACGGGCCCTACAATTTTTCTCGCGGTATCCTTCCCAGCAGGCGGGCTAGCTCCGGGGTTTGCTAAAACTACGGGTTCAGCACTTCTCATATAAAGGAGCGGACACATCTCTGACAGTTGTGTTTATACGCATATAGCACAACCACTATATGCTGAGGAGGGGTGGATAACCTGCTCAGTAAACCTCTGACCAAGTGTCACCTTTTCGGGGCTCGGATGATTGCCTAAAGAAAAATGGTTCAAAGCACAACCGGTTGCTAAACGACCCTTCCCCAGTTCACGCCTGCAGAGCTCCTGCGTTCTGACCAAATGTGACCACTTAAACGGCATCTTATAGCGGGAGGCTAGCGCATTCAAATGAACCTTGTTTCAATTTAGAAGTTTCGGTCTTAGCCGAGATATATGCATTCGAAATTCGGGGTCGAAAAACCACAGAACTTTCTGGAACACCTAATATTTTGGTCGGCACGATTTCCTCCTGCACAGAAAAGTTTTGTGTCTGTGTAGCTCTGAAATGCCGACCATTGAAGAGCAAAGTTATCGATAATGGCGGAAGCATGTTCTTTCCATTGTTTATTCTGCAAAACGTTCTATAATCAGATTAGCCATTCATATGCCTTCATAGCTGTGAACCGGCGCGATCGTGTGACAACTCTGAATACATCAACAGCTCTTTTTGGAAAACTGTCACCAGCAATGGTTTTCATTTGCATCTTATTCTGACAGCATTCTTCATATGGAGTGGTTTCACACTGATAGGGTGAAGCTCCTTCCAGAGGCTGAACGAGAACCGAGTTCCTGAATCACCTTCCATTTCTAGACCTTGCCGTGATGCAATTTTCACGTTTTCAACATTTGCATGGAAATTGTGCTTCTAGATAATAATTTACGACGTAAAGCGTACGTCAAGTTTGGAGCTTTCCATGTGGCAGCAGTCCATTCCTTACAAGAAGCTTAGCGAATATAAACAGGCTCCCCAAAATCAGAACGTAGGACGAAGTCAGGTGGTGGAAAGGAATGTAAGGGAGACACTAAACATCATATACGAAACCCTACAACAATAAAGAATAAGTCCATAATAGTATTCCATGGAGATCATCGCTGTGTGGTGTGCCAAGTGAAGGCTCAATGAAGATACCGACTCGGAGTATGAAATGCTTTCAGTGTTGCTTGATTATCCCGATGTGCTATGCGAGACCGCAGCGCACTAGCACTTATCGTGTCTGGGTCGTAATCGAGGCAGTGATTTTTGGAATTCCCGAAGACAACCGCCTTTTCTGATTTCTTTTTTTTAGTACTTCTCAGTTTTTTTGTAAATGCACCTGGAGACACGTTGTTTTTATAGATCTGTTGCTTTTAAAAAGGTTCCGGAGGAGTTTCAATCTCCAGCTTGAGTTTCGGCTTCACTGGGTGCAAATGGTCTCAAAGTGGTATAACCCTTTTGGACCGAATTTTTCCACGGTAGAAAAAATTTTCATGTTTCATTGTACTTGAGAGCACATAAATAACACTATGAAAAAATTTGGGAGCTTTAAAAAATTTGGAAGACAAAATTTGGAAGCAACCCCAGAGTCCACGAAGCATTATAAATTGACACAGCTTCGCAGTTTTTCAGCTTATATGGGAAAACTCCAAATTTTTTAGTTATTTCAAAAAGTATATGATCTTGCACGAGGGGTTTACTGGGGGTGTGCGGGGGCTCAATGGCGTGAGTGGCGAAAACAGCAGAAAAATCCGTCAAGCAACCGCGAAAAGGAAATCTTTTCGTTCAGCCATTAATCTTCGTCCTGTGAGGAGGTGTGAGCGAATGTGCGAAAGGAACAAAGAAGGATCAAGAGGATAGGCATGATAGTCAGAGTGGGTATATAGGGTGCCGTTCTCTTGACTAGATCATTCCATCCCTAGCGTTCCGCTTTGATACCGTAACTGGCGAACGGATGAACCGAAGAAGAGGTCGAGGAAGCCGGAAAACCCAGAGAGGCGGAAACCGCGCAGGATTCTCTTCAACGCCGCCCACAGCGCCCTGTCACGGCGCTGTGGGCGACTCTGAAGGGATCCTGCGCGACATTCGCAGAAAGTAACTGACAATGAGTCGCTTCCCATCCTGACGCTGGAGTCGCTCCTCAACCAGGCTCTCGGAGAAGCCGGTCGACCATCTGCGGAATCCGCGGACGAGATAGAGCTGGAAACCAGGAAGAAGGGGCCCGAAGTAGATCCTCAAGGGGCCAAAGAAGAATGGCAGAAGACCGCGAAGATAGCGGTGAGCCCCACTCAATTCGGTGTTAGCACACTAATAAATGTGGTATTTGAAATATTTGTTGCAGTGGCAGATGAATCTTCTGAATGAGGAGGGGGGGGGAGGGGAGTAGATGAAGTCGCCCCTCACGCCTCATTTGTGGCGTGATGTAGAGGTCACATTGGTAAAAACAAGATTCCTCAACTCGAGTGGCCCGTAGGGTCACTAGGTAGATGTCTGTGAGAGCGCTGTACGTGCGGATGTGAGGAATGAAGAAGGATCAAGGAGAGGTAGTGATAGGAATGAGTGAATGTATAAAAGGCCAACCAGTTGGCAATAAAGTATTCCTCACTCTGGATCTGTGACACACACACCAACTCGTTCAAAAGAGCGGGGCTAAACGGCAAACTATGGACGATTTACAGTGATGCGTTTGTAGCATCACACAAATTGATGCTCCAGTCGAGTTGCTCCGGTTGTGCCGCTGCTAGCAACACAGCTCTTCCAAAGTTGATAGGAAAATGAATGCGTGTCAAGTATTTTAAAGTCACAGACACTTGTGCAGCAGCTTACCTGAGACCAGCGCGCGATTCATTGTTGCACTTATACACTTGTAGCTGCTAAACTTAGTTGGGGGGCCACGCGCGGCGGCGCAGTCTGCTCGTCTGGCATGTTTTCGAAATCCGTGGGCCGGGGAGAGTGTAGCCAACCTAGGGGGTAGGAGGGTGGGGGCAGTCACTTGACATGCGTGAAAAGCTGAAATGTTCGAGTTCACACTGTCTCGCTTGAGAGGGCCCAGGTGAGCAGACTGCCGCGCCGCCGCGTGCCCCCCCCCCCAACTAAGTTAGCACCCACTTGTAATGCTAACAAAAACACACAATGAAAAGACAGGTTCAAAGCATGACTAGGAAGGGGGGGGTTGTCTGAAGTAACTTCTAAAGGTGGGTAGTAAAAGTATACTGTGACATTCCTTCGCAGACCTTTGAATTTGATTGTGGCAATTGCCACCGTCAGGGCCGAAAGAGCTAATGGAACCGATCAATTCAGGTTGTTTCAAATAGTGTGAATCCGAATCGCGCCATTCTGAATTTTTCGCGAACAGCTGCCTTCAATGACTCAGCGGCTTCGCTGCGAAGCAATACGAAAGAAAATTGGAACGCATCTTCATCGGAGATTTTTTTAAGAAGCATTCATGCTGATACATTGACAGGCTGGATGCGCCTCTTTTCTGTCTTAGAGCTCTCCGAAGCGATTCACGTACATACAGTCTCTGGCGACGAGGTGCACAACGTAGTACATTTGGCGGAATGGACGGGAAAAGGACGGCCTAACGTGTACCAGGGTGAATATCGCTTGAGGATTCCTCAACGACACGTCGAGGATTCTCTGCCCGATCAGAGACGATCTCTCGCGCGGACATTCACACTCGCCATGCCGTACCGTCTGTGGTCTTCGCGCGGATGTTCACTCTCGGCACTACTCTCGCATGGTAGAGAGCTATGGTCGAGGATTTCCTCGACCGTTATTCACCCTGACGTGTACAGTAAGATGGTCTTACAGGATTATGGGTGCGTAGTACTAGAATCGTCCGGAGACCCGCGCTTGTGGTCGTGCCCGCGACGCCGCGACTGCAGTGGACAAGTTGAGCGTCACTTGCTTTGAATTTTAAAAACCTTTAAACGTTTAAGGGCAGTGGTCAACCGGACGACTTGGTGATTCAGCGTTTTGCAGTGTACTCTGGGACTCTCGCATACGCACACTATTACTGCATCTCTGCTTTCTCTCCTTCTTTTGAAAGGCTTAGTCCCAGCAGTGCGCTTTTCTGTCTGGACCCGCACTCGTTGGTTGACCGCTGTCCCGTAACCAATTTTAAAGGGATGCCAGACCGACTCCTCCCTTTAACATTTCGATGAAGCATGGGTGATTTTGATTCCATGGGACCTTTTTCGCTTTTCCGTTATCATCTAATGCTTAATTGAATTGTTCTGTTTCGGCTTTCTGTTTTTTCTGCTCTGTATTTGCTATCCCACTGAATCATTTCACTTTTCAAACAAATCTAACAACGATTCATTACATGCAGGTGACGAAAACTACTTTGTATATAGGATTAGATTGGGTTCCCGATTTCTCTCGAATCTTTTGTGTGACTTTACTATTCTCTTAGTGGATGAGTAACTCACGAGTATTGTTTTCAGCGTGTGGATGTGTCTGCCTCGTTAGCGGTTTCGATCGGGTCTACAGATTGTTACCGTTTTGAGTTGTTAGCTCAGAATTGCTGCAGCTATATCCGATAATTACAACGTGCAGGTAACAGCGTAATCAGTAAGTGCGGCAGTCGCCGTCTTGGTATTTGAATGGCTACATAACGAACTTGCATTACAGGAGTATGCTGACCAACTCGGAATACTTTTGGAGACATAGGCTAAGTCTTCGACAAACGTTGAGCAGGTCAGTGTTTCACATGAAAATTTTGCATTCCACGCAATAAAGTTTTTTGTCTGAATCAACGTAAGTTGAATGACATCCTTCGTAATGAACCCTCAAAGCTATGATTTTGTTTGTTATTTTTTCTGATCTCATTTGAAGTGACTGCTTAGGGAACTTTATCGTTGAATATTTGTTTCTTACCTGATCATTTTAGGCGTTCTTCACAATGGCATCGGAGATTAAGTCACACATTGGTCTTGTGCAAGGAGCAGGCGGTGCTCCCGCTATGCGCATCACAAGTTCCCAGCCTGTGCAGGACAAGAAGAGCGGTGGATGTTTCTGAACGAGATTGGTGGATCAGACCGTAAATGCTCATCATTCATTTTCTCCGTTTATATCTATTCTCCATGCTAGGTTAACTTTACACCGTGGTCCCCGTTTTCCATTTCTTTTATCTTACGTTTCGCGTGCTAATTATTTTTTTTTGTATCTTGTGCTAAGGTGTCCTATGGCACTCTCGCAGTCAGTGGTTGTTTTGTTTGAGAGGTGGTATACTTGTCTGCGTTTGTTCAATTTTTTGCATCCAACTGGTTGGTAGATGTGAATGAAATCCTTCGGTTAGCTTTTGTATGGAGCTGTACATCACCGTATTTTCACAGCTTTTGACCCTGTGACCATTCCTTGTAATCAAACATATAATGTGGTCGCTCTGATATAACGTTTATAGCCCCATTTTATCCATTAATTCTTCGATTAAATGTGATTTGTGATTGTGATCTGAGGAATGAGCGTTGTGCTATACTTTTGCGTGTGAGCTTTTGACCTCGAAATCAATCAGTTTTTCTCTTTTTGGATAAAGTTGTATAACCTGTGTAAAAAGATATGAACAACACAACTTGATTTTTGAAAAAAATCGTGGGAGGGACGTTATAGAAAGAAGTCTTCAGTCCTTCATTTGACATAACAAGACAATTTTCCGGAATTTTCTGAGGCCGATTTCATTGATGGCGTGGAACAGTGATTCGTGCCGCACTCAGCATGCATTTCTAGCTTTGTTTATCGAGAACTTCAATAACTAGGATCTAATAAGGAGTGGTGAGAAGATTATGCTATGATCCGCAGTATTTTTCCAGAAGAAACACGAGAACAACTCTACGAAGAATCGATGAAAATGATGAATCTATCAGCTTGTCTCATAATTAGTGAATCGCATTGGCTATTCTTCAATCTCAAATTCTCTTCGCTGCGGGAACCGGGTCCTGAGGTTTCCGCTGCGGCGAATGTTTCGCTCTGCGAAAACGCGAAAAGTCGCTTTCTATACTAGTGAACCTTACCCAAGATGATGTCGAGATGGTGTCGATTCTTAGAAAAAGGCACACATGTTCTTTTTCGTTATCAATTTGAAGGCATCGCGATCCAGCTGTTGACCGGACTCCATCACTGACCCTAGTACTAATGTGTGTCAGTTCTCACAAAAGCTCCTTTCGAGTTCCATTAACAACCCACAAGGATGAACTTCTGTTGTTTGGAAGCTTGAGATCTGAGATCGTAGGTGGTAGTCTGCTATAAAAAGTTCAAATATCTTTGCAGCAGATTCTTCTTCTCCTTCTCCCTAGCGTTACTCCCGCGCAATCGCAGGGTCCGCTACTTTTGTCAACGTCGCCACTTTGTTCTGTCCGGGGCATCTTCTACCGTGGCCGTGACCTCACTCAGGTCCTTCTTGATGACGTCCCTCCACCTTTTCTGGGGCTCCTCGCGGTCGCTTGCCTTGCGCTTCGAAGTCCATCGCTGTTCTTATGGGATGGTCCTGTGGCCTTCTTAGCACATGCTCATACCATCGTAGACGCTGTTCCCGTACCTTCAGCTGGACAGGCGCAGTCTGCATGACCGTCTGACTTCCTCTCTGACCCTGTCCAGCCGCGTCCCGCCGCAGGCCCACCTCAGCATACTCATCTCAGCGGGGTGAAGCTGCCTTTCGTGATTCTTGTTCAGGGGCCAGCACTCGCTGCCGTATAGCATCCAAGCCTTACTACTGTTGGGTACACCTTCCCCTTGAGCACTCTGGAGCGCCTTCGATCGCATTGGATTCCAGTGGACTCCCTCCATTTCATCCATGTAGCGTTGACCCGAGCCGTCACCGCCTGATCCACACTACCGTCGGCTGCCAGATCGCTCCCAAGGTAGTGGATGTCTTACACTCCTTTGATAGTCTCTCGATGGCGGTCTACGATCGGTTCCGTCCCCTCTTCAGAGCTAAGAAACTTAGTCTTTTTGACATTCAGCCGGAGCTCACTTTCTGCCAGGACTTTCTGCCATTTCTGCACCTTGGCTTGAAGTTCCTCTCTGCTATCTGCTATCTGCTATCGGCGATGTCATCAGCGTAGAAGATGGTCTTTAGTGGTCCCTTCATGAGCCAGTCCCTTTATCAGGACATTTAGAGTCAGGAGGGAGAGGAAGGGGTTCAGAGCTGATCCTTGGTGCACCCCAACTGCGATGTCCATCTCCTTCGTTGGGCCGTGTGGGGTGCGTATGGCTGCCGTGATCCCATCGTACATGTCCCTCACCACAGAGATCGGGTGTTCTTACACGTTCCTTTCCCTGAGCGATCTCCATAGGACTGCTCGCAGTAGCCGGTCGGACGCCTTCTTCAGGTCGAGGAAGGCTAAGTAGCAAGGCCTGCGTTTTCCGCAATACTTCTCCATCACTTGTCTAGCGATTAAGATGGCATCCGTCGTAGACCTTTCGGGCATGGACCCGAACTCTTCCTGAGAGATGGGAACCAGCTCCCGCAGTTCCGAGTCGACCAGGCGTTCTTGCAACTTCATGGTATGCGCTGTCAGCTTGATACCGCGGTAAATGGAGCAGTCCATTGCGTCACCCTTCTGCTCGAAGATGAGCACGATAGTACTTGTTCTCCAGGCATCTGGCATGCTTACTTCAGCAGTCACTGTGTTAGGGTCCACCTTACTCCGTGCTCTCCAAGGGCCCTCCAAGCCTTTATGGGTATTCCATCCGGACCTACCGTCTTTCAAACCTTCATCTTCCCAAGTGCACACCGCACTTCGCCCTCCGTCCATAGTGTGATGGGACTAGCTGTGGGCTCTGCCCGTGAGTTGTTCTTGTGAGGAAACTCCTCGTTCAGAAAACCTCTGAAATACTCTTCCCACCTTCTTCGTACTTCGGCTGGTTTTCTCAGGATGGCGCTATTGCAGCTCTTGACGCTGTTCACCACTCTGATGTCTTGAGTAGCCCGATGCCGGGCTTTAGCCAGTCTGAAAACGAACTTCTCCGTTTTTGCTTTCCAAGTTCTCGTACAAGGCGTCCATCTCCGTGTTCTTTGCCATGGCTATGGCAGCCTTAGCGAGCCTCTTGCAACTCATGTACTTAGCGAGGTCCTCGGGCTTCGAGTGTTTTGCCAGCGCTTATATTCCTCCTTCTTCTGCTTCACGACTCCTTGGACCTCCTCGTTCCAGAGCCACGCTGCCATGTCTCCTCTGAATCCACCTCGCGTCTTACCCAGTACCTCCTTGGCGCATCGAGATGATCTCATCTGTATTGCCCCAAGATTGCTGCTCTGGTCCCTCAGGATCTGGGAAACCAACTTCCATTATCCTTCGCTTGAAGTGGCTCTTCTGTGCTCGGTGCAGCGGCGCTTTTTTCACTATCGACGCGGTGTGGCTCACGCAGCACGCGGCCAGTTTTTGCACCGACTTGCGAAGTATGTACTGTTTCAACTTTACCAGGCTCAGACCACTTTACGTGAACGCCGGCATGTATTCTCCGTGGTGAAGGAAGGATCTCGATCAAGGAATTCAAGTGTCGCACCAATGAGTCCATTCTGGAAGGATGGAGACCTGCAGAGACGACGTCGTCGAGACCCACACCTTACTGAATTGTTGCGCCGAAAAGGACAGCAAGGTGAAGCACCATGCATCATGTGCAGCACGCGGTACGCAATGGGTTAATGTATTTGAGCGGTAGTATCAAGGAAATCGGGTGATAAAGAAGGAATTTCTCAGGGTTCTTCAATACCAATGAACATCCACCATTTTTGTGGGACTAACACTCTAGAAGCCGAGCGACCTTTGGATGACTAATACACTGACTTAGGTTGCTTATTATCAGCCTCAGCGTAAATATCTATCATGGTTTGGATATTGGGGAAGTTTTTCGGGAAGTATTAGGTCATCTCATTCAAACATGTCCAGACATCTAGAGAAATGGTGGGAAGAGTAAGAGAGCTAGAGCATTCTGCTTGCTTTTGTTTTGAAGCTAGCACACCTAGCTACGGTATATCCCAATTAAGTTTGTAGTGCCGCGGAAGGGTACACTTAAAAAAATAAGAAAACTCATTGTGACCAAAATTGAGGCGGAATTTTTAAATATTGGTGATATACGTAAAATTCGCAACTCGGATTCTCTGTCTGCTAGCTCAGCTTACGCGCGATACAGTGTTCTTGAAGTGCTACGTTGAAGATATGGCGTGAGGGCTCAAAGAAGGAAGAAAGGATGGGAGCTGTGGTTGAGGACGCGCTCACATTGCCCGCCTTGCCGAAGAAGAGCGGGTGGATGAATTGGGGTTTTAAACGGCGCATCATAGACGCTGAACCTTTGCGATGTTTGCCCACGAGACTTGCAGTCTAGCTGCAGCTGTTACGCGAATTGTGCCCAAAAATTAGGGATGGATGTTTTTGAATATCTCATTTACTCCCAGATGCAAGAGTCTAGAATCTAATTGGTGTCTGTAGCAATGATTTTCTCTGCCAATAACGGCATTTAAGACTATCAAACTGGACCCTGCTCATAAACGAAATTTGTGTGTAATTGTACGCTGAGGCCCAAGTCAGGAGTTTCAACTTTGGATTAACGCGAATGAGGAACTGCCCAAATTGGATCACGATTAGTTGCGTGGGTTCACGTGGATGATTATTATAGCGATGAATTTCTGAAGTGTGCCTCTCAAATGGCTCTGTCGGGAAAAAACCTTCGGCGTTTCTCAAGTTTATGGCTTGTTTCTTAGCGATCAAATTGACAAAGGAATAACAGTATAAAACTATAATAACGATATCATCACCTATGCCGATACCAGGCCCTACATAGCTCATATTGCTCACGGGTATTTCGATCAAACGGATATTGTGACCTCTTCTTATCAACCGTATTTTCCCACTTGCAGCCGTGCGACCTTAGCTGTTTTAGCGAAGTGAAGGCACTACTCGTTGGCAAGCGCTACGACAACTCGTTGATCATGTATACTGACATCAAAAGCATCTTGTCTATACATGTTGAAATAAAGAAGCTGCGCGGTATGCAGCGTTTTCTAGACGCTGGGATCGGGTCGTT